TAAATTATGATAATTCAATATCATGTCTATTTATAAATCTATTAATATCTAATAGATTACTGTATAGTAGCACCGGTAGGCAAATATCTAACAAATATACCGTATGTTTAATACATGAAACAGTTTTACATAAATTTGTTATTGAAATTATAAACTAATGAATGAATTTAAATTTGTTTTAAAAATTTTATTTTAAAACACATTTAACTTTTAGATGCCATACCTTTTAGTTCAAGTTTATATGGTTTGCCGTAGCGTTCAGTTACTGTACTGATAGCCTTTTCATACCGGGGCTCTGTATCTGTAGATATAATATTTAAATAAATTGTTAATTAAGACTTTTATAAATAATTTTTATATACCATTAGCTATAAATTTTAAATTGTACTGAATATTATGCACATCCCTGGCCATTAGCACAAGTAGTATTTATTGATTTTATGGCAAGTATTCACTATTCAGTGCAAAACTTACGTAAAATGCTATGCTTTTCAATACAATTTACTTTTTTAAAAGTCAATCAATGTTTCAAAAAATCCATACCTAATAATAGGCCGTCCATGTCAAACACCACATGAGATACCGGTGCGAGCTTCTGTCCATTTTGTATACCATTCATCGTTATCACTGATTAGATCCACAGAAATCGGCATAAAATATAAGTCAACAAAAAGTATTAGATTTACAAAACTGTTTACAAGAATCTAACGGTTAGTATAATACAAAAAAAACTCACGAGAAGTTTGGCTTAAATTTCAAACACAATTCAATGACACGTAAAATGTTTGATAAAAAAACTTAATTTTTATGAAATCAAATATAAACTGATTACTAAATGAATTTAATGTCAACTTTATATGCGATGTCTATAACACACATACACGCAAACAAATGTCTAATAATTCATATGATATGATAGCGAATGGAAAATAACGAGTTTTTTAACGCGATATTCAATTCAATGTTACGATTAAATGCCTAAACATTTAAATGACTACAAGAAAAGTCGTAAAACTTTTTTTGTGGGACACCTCTAAAGGACACGGTGTGTGACGTATCCCATCATATGAGGTGTATTACATCACCCGTACCCTTGTCGCACACATTCACGGAACAGCTATACAAATAGACTACCGGTGCCTCGTTTTTTAATTCCTATGCCAGCACTGGTAGTCAAATAATGTAGGAAAACTTGTAGTCACTGTTAGGTTATCTCAGAAAATACTGTATAATCACTAGAAAAACGTGATTTGCTTTCTGGAAATTCTCCAAAAACTGTGTGCACTTTAAACACCCGTTTCCCGTACACTACAGTTCCCCTTCATTACACTATACACTCGTTATTATGAGCGCACTGTAAGTCATTAATATACCAGAATATACGGTACACTATGGGTACTGCCGTACAGAATATTATTAATGCAAAAACAAATAAATATACATGTACGCACTGTAAGTCATTAATATACCAGAATATACGGTACACTATGGGTACTGGCGTACAGAATATTATTAATGCAATAACAAATAAATATACATGTACTTTTGCTATATTAATGTTGGCTATAATCATTAATTTTTTCAAACTCACCCGTACACTATACACGTTTATAAAGTGCATGTATATTTTATTCTCAATGCCATGGTGATTTACTATATATAAAACAGCTGTACACTATTCAAACTGCCGGTACATTATTGAAAGTACTGCTATACACGCTATACTGTACGACCTTTTTGCCACATAAAACAGTCCTATGTTTAGCGCAATTACAGTTAATTTTGATATTTATATTAACGTTTAAATAGAAAAACTCGTGGCACAAGTAGTTCAAGTTTATCGGGGGAGGGGATGGGCACCGTTAGGGGCTAAGTATTGCATAGGTTTTTATCTCATATCAATAATTAAACATTTAATATTTGTCATATATTTTCCTATTTAAATAAGGACATAGTACACAATTATATGATTCTATTAGCATATATTAAATCTATATTGATTACACATTAAATGCAGTTATCATTCATAACTTACCATATTCAAATTACAGTATATACTCGGTGTAGTTAATAAGGATTTCAAAACATTTACCACATTATCATGTAATGAATATAAATAATGCATTAGTATTTTTTGATATTTTGTATAGTCATATAACATCGCTTATAATAAATGATCATGTTATAAATACAAAACAGTACAAAAACTAATAAAACCCAGAGCTAATTGTAAATAATTTTTATTGTCATTACATTTGCTATTTATTTAAGTATATTTTTATTGTATAGATTTTATGCTAGCGTTTTATATTGACCGATAATCAAATAGGAAAAAACAAATATAAGTTTTTATATTTTTGTGTGCATTAATGGGAAATTCAGTTTAATTATACGAAAACACGCCATTCCCCGTATAGACTACCTTACCATTAGGCAATTGTGAACTTTGTATTATGTTTACAGAATCCTATTTTTAGTGCTAACCTTAGACTAGATATATGTTTATGCAAACAATCATATTATAAACATTTAGTGCAAAGAATATTCTGTATACATTATATTATACACTATAGATTTCAATAATATTGATGTATTAATAGTAAATCCAATGCTTTTAGATATTATGATAAATCTCATAATAAATATTTTCAATAGTTATGCTCAGCTCGTATTTACATTAAAATAGTTTAATGTTTACCATAATTAGTTTTTAAAGTATTTATTTGCGATAATTGTACTTCAGATTATAATAACTACTAAAATGCAATAAAAATAATATTTGAAAAGTAAACAAAATTATGAATATTTGATAACTTAATGGGAAAAAACCAACACATTTAAAGTCATTAAAACCTTGAATTCTGTCATTAAGTGGAAATTATTTTTTATTTTCCGTAAACAAATTACCTATAAAATAAACAATTTATTAAACCCTTTAGAAATATAGTATTTTAATAAATTAATATTGAAGTTTGTTAAGCACTCGGGATATAAATTATCAGGGTACCTGTGAACTGAATTTGTGTGTTGACACCACTAATGGGAATAAATTGTTT